TGGACATGAGAACAAATTGTGCCCTGCTGTTTGCCAAGCATAGTCATGAGTTAGAGCCCTGGGATGTACCATCTTTATAGAAGCTCACGGGCGATTCCAAAATTAACTGCATCAGGAGTTTTCTTCTATATCTCCTTTAGGTGTCTAAAGTTAAAGGATACACTTCATTAAAGGTACACTTCATTATTGCCTAAGCAAACACAGACCCCTCCTCCCTCTTTGTATAGATCTTCAAAACAGGATACCTGGTACTGGGAATTGAACCAGGGCTCATGGATGCTAGGCAAGTGCTATGCCCCCAACCCCAAAATAGGACTCTTACCAGTTCCATTTGCACATTGTGTAGAGAGCTCTGTGGCTGGAGTCTTCATCAGTTTAATTTTGTTTTGCTTGGATTCATGGATTTGCAGGGGATATTTATTTCACATTTTTAACTAAAATCTTATTGACTAGTAATTTATCATGAAAATGTCCCGGTCATATTCAACACTAACCCTGAATGAACAATTAAAAGAAAAGAACATGAGCTTTGTAACTGTCAATTTGGATAAATTGATGAGCCTCTGTAAGGAATCAGGATCTTGAGGCTAGGATTTTGTTTTTTGCTTTTTTTGGTACCAGAGATTGAACTCAGGTCCTTCCACCTGTGAGGCAGGCGGTGGGCCAGGCGGCGGAACCACTGAGCTAAATCCCTGACCGGGATTTTGTTTTTTTAAAGGATGTTTCTCTGTGTAGCTGAGGCTGGCTTGGAAAGCATGATCCTCCTTCCTCAGCCTCTGGAAGGTTGGGATTACAGATGTGTAGTATCACACCCATTTTTTTTTTTTTTTTTTTGAGACAGTGTGCATTTCAGGCTGGCCTTGAACTTTCTGTGTAGCCCAGGCTGGTCTCAGCAGGCAATCCTCCTGCCTCAGCCTCCTAAGTGCTGGGATTACAGGCTTGGGCTGCCATGCCCTGCAATCATACCTATTGTAGGATTCTTACTTGGTGGGTTGTTCTCAGTCCCCGGATTTTTGGGTTTTCTTTTCTCTTTGGTTAAAGAATTTACTGTCTTCAAAAACAGCTCCAACAAGGTAAAAATGCTTCTATCTATACTAGGATAGCAGTTTTAACTTTCAGAACCGTGCACTATTGAATAGTGATTTCCCACCTCAAATAATATTATATTAAACTGTCACCAAGTTGGGAGAAATGTGATTTTTTTTTTTCTAATTTTGCTTTTAGAAGACAGAAACAGTTTAGCTTCTTTGTATGTCTAAGGCACTGGTGGAGAGTAAAATTTCAGGGATTTTTTTTTTTTTTTTTTGGTATCTGGTCCTTGTGCTTTCGAGGCAAGTGGCAGAACCACTGAGCTAAATCCCTGGCCCAAAATTTGTTTTTATGCATTTGAAGTAAACAGTAAATAAGTCTTTCCTTTATCTCAGAAAGCAGAACCCTTTTGGTGGCTAACAGTGTTAAGATCGATCCTAGTAACTTTTGAACTTTTTTACCCCTGCTCAAAGAAATCTGTGACCCAGGACATAACAGATGTATTTGTGAATCCTTGAAGAAGGGCTTCATGGGATAGTTGTCCTTACTGTTATGCTACACACCAATGGGTTTTACCCTCAATTCGGCAAATCCTGGTCCACCTGTGGATTGTGAGGTTCCCAAAGCCTCATTAGTAGTGGGCGGCCCAGCCTGAACTGGCAGGAAACAACCAGTGTCTTTGAAAGAAATGGATTGTTTTTAGCTTTGATGGCAGCAATTAACATTTTACATGTATTAAAATAACACAAAGTCTTATGTAGATGCTTTTTTATTAGCTTAAAAGTATCATTGACCTGCTTAATACACATGACCACAATTGGAGCAGCTTTAGATGTGGGTTGTTTTTTTTTTTTTGAGTTTCACTGTGTAGTTCAGGCTGGCTTTGAACTATGTGGCCCAGGCTGGCCTCGAACTCGAAGTGATCCTCCTGCCTCAGCCTCCTGAGGGCTGGGATTACAGGTAGCTTTAGATATTTTTGTTTTTAAATATCTGAAATGTGTATTTTGGGATGGTTTCCAACACATCCCAATTTAGGCTGTTTTTAGTACTGCTTCCTTCTTTTTTTTTCTGTTTTACCATATTGAGTACTGCTTCCTTCTAAAGCACCATCTCTCTGGCAGCCTTGCCCTTTCTGTAGGTTGGGAGAGGACAGCAGAGCAGCGAGCGGCAAAACCACTACTGTGTGTTCCTGGTTAACACTTGATGGTTTCTACTGTCTTGGGCCTTTCGCGTTTGTGTGGTAGGGTTTGGGGCTCTGTGCTAGGCACTGTTTGTGTTTCGTCTTCTCTTCTAGAGAGGGATGAAGGAGACTATGAGAGGCTTGTTCTTCTGGGGAATTTGTCACTGCTGCAAAGCTAGAAGTTCTTAAGTAGATAAGAGGTAAAATAGACTTCCTGACATCTTCCTAACAGGAACAATAAATACATTTTTTTGCTCAGTCTTAAATTTAGAAGTACTTAAAGACCTTACCTAGCTCTGTAGTAGCATTCTTTAGTTTACCTACTCATGATTAATTTTTGTCCTCAAAAAATTTTTTTCATAGAAGCTATAGAAAATAAAAATATTAAAAGTATAATAAAGACCAAAAAAAGTAAAATAAAAGATCCAAATTTGAAACATTTTGCCATATATATCCACCCTTCCAGACTATTTTTGGTGTACACATTACCTTAAAGAAAAACATTTTAAGCCAGGTATGGTGGCACATGCTTGTAATTCTAGCACTTGGGAGGTTGAGGCAGGAGGATCACCACGAGTTCAAAGACCAGCCTGGGCTACATAGTTCAAGGCCAGCCTGAACTACACTGTTAGACTTTGTCTCTCCTAAAAAAAATTATTTTAAAAAGCAGCTGACATACTGACAAAGACTCTCCAAGCTTGCCACTATTTAGTGGGTTCATACAATAATTGGAGGGAGTATCAGGTGACTCAGAGGGTGGCGTTAATCATAGGAGGAGACATGAGCTTATGCTGAGGAGGATCTTAAGTCAATGAAGATCTTCTGTTGATGAGGATGTGAGATGAGCAAAACATTCTTAAAATAGTAGGTGGGAGTTAAGCTGATAAGGAATTTGTCCCTCCCCAGGTGAAACCTTTCTCTCTTTGATTACTACTCAGCTTTTGAAGAACCAGGATATCTTCAGATGATGTGCTCTTGCCCTTGAGTGTCACAGCATCGGGACCATTGAGGCCTCAATGAGCTGTGACCGAGGCACATGGAGTTACTTTTCCCGCATGCCATAGCCAGCTCGTGGGCAAGGACATTAGGCCCCACACAGCCCTAATCATAATTAATTATGAGGGGATTTCCCCAAATCATGTAGAATGGCTCCCAACAATGGATAGAGCTAGGCTTTAAAAATCACATTATGTATCTGGAAACATTTTATGTAAATTTATTTTTACAATGAAAGTATATAACACCCACATTGAAAAAAGTTATATAAGGGGTAGAAAAAATAAGTAGTTATAATCCTTCCATTCTGACATAACTACTGTGAACTCTTTTTTAAGTCTTATATATATGGACTTTACATAGTTATAAGTATATGTATCTGAAAACCAAAGTCTGTCTTTAAGAGAACATAAATTTGGATGTATGAAAGGGACACATTTGAAAAAAATATATACCAAATCATTATAATCTTAACTTTCTTGTGCATCGATTCCTTCCAGTATTGTGTTGAGTCATAGAGAAGGGAACTGCTATTCAAATGCAGTGTTAAAATTATAAAAATCATAATTGTGAAAAGGGTCCTTGGCATTACCTTCTGTTTTTAGAATCCTAGTGTCAGAAGGCAGAGATTTCTGAGTGACTTGCTTTGATTAGGGACAGCAACTTTCTGAATAGTAACTTCTTTAGGATAACTAAAGCTGGACATCGTGCCACCTGCCTGTGATTTTAGCACTCAGGAGGCTGAGGCAGGTAGATTGCCACAAGTTAGAGGCCAACATGGGTGTCTAGGATGAGATGATCACAAATGTGGCATAGGTTTTTAGTTTTTAATCGTATCACTGGAATCCATCTTATTTGTTACGGAAGACACTTCAAAAAAAATACTGTGTCACTTTTCCTAAGAGGCTGAGTAGTTTCTTCTTTGATGAGTAGAAAGTATTAGAATGGATGGTAACAGCAGGTAGAGAGATGAGTAAAGGAGTTAAGTTGTAGTTATTATTTATTTACTTTTTTGGTGGTACTGGGAAATGAACCTAGGATCTTCCCACTACGCTACATACTCCCAACCTCTTATTATTGTGAGACAAGGTGTAAGTCACTAAGTCACCCACGCTGGGGTCCCACTTTGTGATCCCCCAGGCTCAGCCTCCCAGAGTGCTGGGACTCGAAGCGTTTGCCATCACACCCAACTGAGGTGGACTGAAGTTGTCCGAAAAAATTGTAGGATGACTTTAGAAGAGAAACCCCATGAAGGTGAACCCCTTTCTGTCTGTCATAGGGTAAAACCCATTAAGGTTTGGGCCAGAAGATGCAGTAGGGCTCATTTTCAGGGGATATCTCTTCTAAAATCATGCTAGAACTTACTTTCTGGGTAGGACGTCTTTTTGAGGAAACATAGTTGAACAGTGTGGATTTGGAAGGTCTCTGTTTAAATCCAGATACACTGTGTCATGGGGCTAATCCATCCCACTCAATCCAACAAGATAGTTGTGAGGGTAGAACGCAGTGTCATATATGAATATGCCTTATAAATTTACCTTGAGGCCCAGAATCCATGCTTGTGCCAGAGTAGGAAGACTCTTTTGTATGTATGTATGTATGTATGTATTTATATATTTATTTTGGTACCGGGGATCAAACTCAGGACCTTGCACTTGCGAGGCAGGTGGCAGCACCACTGAGCTAAATCTCTGGCCCCAGAGTAGGAAGACTCAACAGGGTGTTGTATGTTAAGCCACAGTAAAGCTCTTATGCAGCAAGATAGGCTGACCCTGGTTCTTCCTTTTTCTTCCAGTCTTCGAGCAGTGACAGTGGCGGGAGCAGCAGCACCAGCATCCATAGCCCAGACCGGGCTAGTGGGCCAGAGAGCGGCTTAAGCCAGGTCATGCCCGGATCCAGCCCCAACACTCCTCAGCCCATGCCTGAGCAGTCTGCCCTGTGCCAAGGCCCTTACTTCCACATCAACCAGACCCTGAAGGAGGCCCACTTTCACAGCCTACAGCACCGAGGACGGCCTCTGACATGATGCACCAGAAGTTTCTTACCTTCTGTGAAGGGACAGTGCTGTGCAGATTTGATACTTCAACTTAGGATTTGTTTTGAAAAATTGCACACAGAAAAACCTGCCTGTTGGCTTTTCAGTCTATTTGAAATAACAGGTTAACAGGCAATTGTTTACTTGTGGTTCTGCTGCACTATTGCAATTTCAAAGGGGCTTCGAAGCAATTTTTTATAGGATTCTTTTGAGGGAGGGTATGATCCATGTCAAGGTAGTGGTGTGAGGAAATTTCATCTGTGTGTCGCATCCATAGTGTGTCCAATTCAGACTGATTTCTCAATCGGTCACCTAGAAGTTCTACTTTATGTAAAAGGATCTTTTAAAAGTGCGGGATCTTCAATTTTTTTAATTCAGTAAACTAGGGAAGAGTATCTAGTTTCCATGAAAAAACTCGTTTTCCAAAAGATAGGAAGCTTGATTCAGTCTTGCACTGAAATTAATTGCCATACTACCTCTTAGTATATAGACATCCTATGGAAAGTACTCTGTCTGTTTTAACAGAACAATCAGATCCAATTTACTGTGGAAGTGAAGCACCCTCCCTAGTGACGGTCTCCACTCTTTGTTATATATTTGTACTTCCAGGGAGAATGTCCTTCAGACTCTTGGATAGCCAGATAACTTCTACATCACTATTCCTCCAGAGTCTGCAC